TTTTTTATTTTCTATCAATTCCAGATAAAAATAAGAGTTCTTCAAAAAGAACTTTAAGTCAAGGATTTGCTTATCTGTTCCTTTCTTGAGATTTCTTTATTCCATCAGTTCCATCACATTTCCAATCTCACAGACTTAAGAACCCAGCATGAGTTTTAATTCATCTTACTCATCCTTGGACACTAATTCATATTGATTCTGCTTTTAAATGGACTTTAAAAATAATAATGATTCTGTTCTTATTGCCGCTCCTGTGGAGTTCCTCCCCATTGATTCTCCACTTTAACTTGCCATACCTTTGGGTACCATACAGCAGGCCATCTGTGGGCTCCTCATTGGCAGATTAAAAGTATGTGCAAATAAATAACAGTGTGATACAAAGTAACATTGTAATACAACTAAGATACAGTATAATAACTATTTACATAGCATATATGTTGCATGAGGTATTAGATGTAATCAAGACGTGATTTCAAGTTTACTGGGGGAGGCATATAGGTTACACGCAAATACTATACCATTTTATATCAGAGACGGGAACATCCTTGGTATCCACTGGTCGGGGGAGATTCCCTGGAATCAATCCCCAGCAGATACAGAGGACTGACTGTATTTCTTTCCATGAATCAGAGCACTAAGGATCATTCCCATCTTTGGAACTCTTAATAGCTCTTTTATGCTGTTTAATCAAGAACAAACTCTCCACAATATGATCAACTGTAATTCCCAACATATCCTTTATTACTTTCCTTACAGCTCTAATAACCAGCCCTGACAACCCTTGTAGCCCTCACTGATCCCCAAACATCCACATGCTTTTCTGCCTCTACATCTTTGCTAAGATTGTCCTTACTCAGAATTCCAACAGTCCACCTTTTGGATTAAAAAATCTCCCAGTACTTAAGTGCTTATGTCAAATGCTACCTCTTTGTCAAGAACTTTTAACCATAATATATAATCCCTGGCTCAATGGGGCCCTCATAAAAATTTGTACAAATGACACCTTGCATTACATTATAGATGTCTGATATTTCTCTGTGTCTCTCTACTAATGATAAGCTGCCTTTTATCCCTCATCTTTACACTCCCTTCAACAGGAGACAGCCTAGAAAATATGCAGTACTTCACAAGTGTTGCTAAATTGAATCCAATGAGCTCTTTCTAAATTACTAAAACCAAAACTCCTTAAGTGACATATTTCAACAGCAATTTTAAAAGATTTCTAAGAAACCAATATATTATTTAAGTATCATTATAGCTGGTCATGGGGTCAACCAGGAATCAACTGAAAGTTTCATTCCACGCAATCAAATATTTTGCCGTTCTTAAAGACACGTTCTACCAAAATTATTTTACGCCTTAATAGACCATCACATCCACAGGAACACTCACTGGGCTGGATCTTTGTGCTATAAAAGTCTAAGGAAGATGTATGTGCCATGAACCAGTGGACACTGGAAGAAATAGACGTCTGATGGCAGGAGAATAATCACTTTGAACCAGCTCAAACTATGGTAAGTATGTTTCTTATGAGTCACAGTATCATAATCCCAATGGACTTAACTTTAAAACAGCATAGTGTATCTAATACAGCTGCTCTGAGGCTGGGCCAAAACAATTATCCTTACTTGACCTTTTGGGTCTTGAATCAATAACAGGCCCAGACTACATGAAGAGAACTAAGTTGCTCTCACTGCATTAAATGCCCGACAAACATCAGGCCAGCTGTCTATCCATCTATCATCTCCATTCACCCATCCTTCTATCCATACTAGCCCCCCTCTAATGCATCACTGTAATGATATTATGTTATGCATGTATACATTTTAATATGTACTGAGCACTTCATGTCACACACTAGTCTAAGTATTCTACATATGTTAAACCTTATAATAGTTCTATAAGGTAGGTACAGTTATTCCCATTTTACAGATGAAGAAATCAAGACTCAGAATGTTTAAGTAACTGCCCAAGTTCAAACAGCTATTAAGTAGTAGGACTGGGATTTTAATCCTGGAAATTTTCTCCCAGAGTCCATTCCTTTTTTGAGAAAGCATTTTATTCTTAAGTCTTGCCAGGCTGGACTCACTGCAACCTCCACCTCCCAGGTTCAAGCAATTCTCCTGCCTCGGCCTTTCAATTAGCTGTGATTACAGATGCATGCCACCACCACCAGCTAATTTTTATATTTTTTAGTAGAGATGAGGTTTCACCATGTTGGCCAGGCTAGTCTTGAATCCTAACCTCAGGTGATAACCTGCCTCTGCCTTCCAAAGTGCTGGGATTACAGGCATGATCCACCACACCTAGCTTAGAGCCCATATTTTTAATCACTCCATGATACAGTACTATGAGAGAAGGACTTTGTTTTCTTCTTAGAAGTTGGAGAGGTCTCTGAAAGTTACCCTATTTCTGGAAAGGACCTACAGGAACCTGTTATAGAAGTAAAGGCACAGGTGCACATAAACATAGGAAACCTGCTAGGTTTCCATATTACAGTTATAAAATTGGAACTATTTCTTAAAAATAAAATTGAGAAGCTAAATTTGAAGCATAGAATACTTCTATGCGAGCTTGCAAGGCAGCCCTATGTGCTACTGGTAGGGATCTCTGCATGGACCCCATAGATGTGGTCAGGGCAATTGCCTGGACAGATTCTGCTCAAGGCCCTCGATGGGCATCAGTCAGCAAGGTGAGAATGAGAAATGAACTTCATTATTCCATTCAGCCTTAAAATAAAGAGAAGCATTTGGTCTTCTACAGAAATGCATACATAACCAAACAAAAGCATGCTTGACTCAGTCCTGTATTTTGTACCAGGAAGGAAGGAATGCAGTGACTAAGATGCTATGAATAAACAACAAATCATTTTCTATGGGAGGGAGAAAAGAACGCTGTCTACCACAGCATTCCTTCTTCATAGTTTCACCAAAAAAAGCACCAGTCTCGGTTCTTCAACAGGGAAAGTGAACCTGATGGCACTCACAACTTTCACCAGCGACAGGCTGCATCTTACCTCTAACTCACTAATAAAACAACAGTAGAAAAAGTCCTGGAAAATGTGTTCCAAATTCATGATATTGAAGAAGGCTTGCCAGAGGCCATAAGTCAGAGAAGCCAAGTAACAGCTGAATTTGGAATGAAATATTGGACAATAACTTAGCTTTCATTCTGAAGGGCTACCTTTAATAACATTGCAGCTTGTAGGACTGACAAAGTTAAATAACAAGTCGTGGCAGTCGATATGTTATTTTTATTTTTATTTAATTAATATATTTTTGAGACGAAGTCTCACTCTGTCGCCCAGGCTGGAGTGCAGTGGCTTGATCTCACCTCACTGCAACCTCCAAAGTATGACAATGCGTAACTTAATTGGCGCTAATGTGAAGGGAAGTGTGTCCCCACCCTTCACCCTTCTAAGGAGTGGCAGGAATCACAGAAGAGAAATTCCGACCTCCCTAGGGAGGAGACAATGCCGCACCCTTACCTGCAAGGTGCTCCCATCGTAGGTCTCGCACATCCAATTGTGGCACTCACACAGGGGCCCGAAGAGCTCCCAGGTTCAAGTAATTTTTTTGCCCCACCCTCCCAATTAGCTGGGATTACAGGCGTCTGTCACCATGCCTGACTAATTTTTTCATTTTTAGTAGAGACAGCGTTTCACCATGTTGGTATGGCTGGTCTTGTACTCCTGACCTCAAGTGATTCGCCTGCCTCGGCCTCCCAAAGTGTTGGGATTATAGGCATGAGCCACCCCGCCTGGCATTTAGTATTTTTAAATGGTTGATCTGCAGCCTTCACAGGGAAAACAAATCAAGTAGATGCACCTGCGCCCTTCCAAATTCCTTCTCTATTTTTTGCATTGCCAAGCAGCCCAGGTTCCAAGAAAAAAAATATTTTGTTATAAACTAATTCTTGATCTTTCTATGTTAGTGATGGTCATCTTATTAGTCTTAGCTACATTGAGGGTAAAATAAGTGGCTAGTTTTTCCTACAAATTTGCCAAGTCCTGGCTGGAATGTATTGTGTTGTGCTTCCACAAATGGAGTTCTGTGTCACTCACAAGGTACTAATTGAAGCTGTTGGCCTTAAGTAAAATGACACATTTGTCTGAAACAGATAAAGAGGTGAAGGGTGTTCTCTGGGAAGGAATTTTTTGACCCTTTCCAATATCAGAACCTGAATCACTCCTTAAAAATGTGCAAGGAAAATGAATGTATTTTCACTCCACCCTTACAAAATACCAAGTTTCACTGCAACTCAAAAATCCAAGCAGCTAAAACACTACAAGAACAGTCTAAGTAAATACGTGCCTCTTTATTTTTTCCTTGTTGCAGTTTACTGATATGCATTCCTGCCTGTGAAGTATCTTCTAATGATGAGAGGGCAGATCAAGCTTCAAAGACAAAACCTGCCTCCCCTGGAATGGAGGAAAATAATACATTCCGCCTCCCGGTTTCCTATGTAAAATAAAATACAGGCCTATGATCTGCAAATATTATGATTAACATTCTTGATAGGGATAGAGCCCAGTAACATAACTCCATTTGTGAGGACGTTATGGAATTTGGTCTGTGATAAGGAACTTTAGTGGCAAGTGAGATTTCAGAATTAAGCAAATGACGGCCAGGTGCAGTGGCTCAGGCCTGTAATCCCAACACTTTGGGAAGCCAAGGAGGACGGCTTCAGCCCAGGCGTTGGAGACCAGTCTGGGCAACATAGCAAGACCTTATCTTTAAAAAGAATAATAATTACATTAAAAATATAATTGTGTGAATGATTTTTTTAAATTATTACTTTCATTCAAGTTTGGAGCCTGGGGGATAAAAGTATCGTGATAAATGATGCGGGAATTAGCCAAAGCGTGCCAACTGCGGTGACTTAATTGGTGCTTGTGTGAAGGAAGCAGTGTCCCCACCCTTCACTCTTCTAGCGAGCGGCAGAAATCCCACAGGAGGAGTTGCGACCTCCCGAGGGAGGAGCCAGCGCCGCCCTCTTACCTGCACAGGTGCTCCCGTCGTAGGTCTCGCACACCCACTCGTGGCACTCACACAGGGGCCCGAAGAACATGCCCGGCTCGGTCACGTGGCAGATGCAGACGCCGCAGTCGCAGCGGCCCCGGCCGTGGCACAGCGCGGCCCCCGGCGGCTGCCCAGGTGCGCGGCAGCGGCGCTCGGACTCGGCCCGGGACAGCCTGCAGGCGGCGCCCGGCCAGCTCCTGCGCGGGCGACAAGCAACAGCCGGGCGGGGTCAGACGCGGGCGCCGCCCCCTGCTCCGAGCCCACGTTTCCTCCCCAGCGTTCCCTCCAGGTGGAGACCTACAAGCCCGGGAACCGGAAGCCTGAGGCCCACCCTCCCTGGGGTCCAAGCGCTGCCTGGGAGGGCTGCATTTTCCCAAGCAAACAGGTACCACCCACCTGAGACAAGACCAGGGCCCACATGTGTAAGGGGTGACTGTGCCCCTGGTCACAGGTCCTTCTTCCAGGTGACACAGGAGATCTGCCCCGCTCTTGGGTAATTTGTCTCTGAATCTAATTTGCACATTGAGATTAGATAGAAAGTAATCCAAGGTACGGCACTTTGCTGACTTTTCAGTTCTCCTTTAAAAAACCGTCCCACTGCTATCGACTGGCCAGTGGGCAGTTATAGTATGGAAAAGAAGACGTGAATCTATAGAAAGAGTTACATATATTATGATAGCATCGGATGTAATTTGCATTAAGCAGTCTTTAGGACTTTAAAAAGTTTAGTTTCGATATTGTGATGTGCCTCAAAGCTTCTTTCAGAATGTGATACAAAATGTAATACGGACCTCCCGTTGGTGCTGTCAGGAAACAGAGCTCATTCTGCTTTATAGGCTGTGAGAAGATACAGGTACACACAGAACTACCTTTAACTCATGGCAGAAGTTCCTCCTGATATGTCTTTGCAGAAGAGGAAATGATATTTTTATTCAATGATTGCATTTTCCCAAAGGAAAAGCAAAAGGACAGACATGAGGCAATTCACAGTGTTGGTACAAGGAGAGGGAAAGGAGCAGGTTGAAAACAGTTTATCCCGTGTCCAATTTAGTAACAGCTCTTGGCTTAGGGCAGCCATCCTGCAACCTTGAGCCCTGCCACCTAAGCAGGGCAGGTCTGTCCTGAAGAATAACAAACCAGACTTACCTCAGAGATGGCGAGAAGCTTTGAGGAACAGCTGACAGCCCAGCAAAGAGAAGGGAGGACGCCAGCAGAAAGAAGTTGCTGAAGCCTGGGGGACGCATGCTGCGCTCCTGGGCTGCTGGGGCGAGCTGCACTTCTGCAAGGTGGGGTTCAGCAGGGGAGGCAGCAGGAGGGAGTGGTGCCACCAGCAGATGGCCGGGCAGACGGACCCACGGACACCCAGGCGTGCAGGTCCAGGGCTCCAGCCGGAGTTGCAATTGCAGCGAGGATTTGGGCAGCGGCGCTGCTCTGGGCGGGGTGCTGGTGCCAAACCCCTCAGTGGAGAGTCTAGGCAGGGAAGTAATTAGAAACAGTTGTACAAGCAGATGGTTTATTTTGACCAAAAAAAAAAAAAAAAAAAGTGTCCTGTTCACAGATTTGAGAAAATCGTTTCTTTCTTCAAGTACAGGCCCCAGAAATCTTTGACAAGAGAATATTTGGACTGGCCGATATTAAAGAGGCCTTTAAAATAATCCCTGAGTTGTGAAGAGGAAGGGTGAGACCAGTGACAGTCGGTGTGAACACTTGGGTAGGGAATTACTTTCACCACACGCTTTGAAAGAAGATACACTCTTTGGAGTTTGGGTTGGGTGGGGGGGGGCAAGGAAATCTAGCAAATATAACTTTTTCTTGCATTTATTATCCTTTGATTTAAGCTGTGGATATTTCATTTCTTTGGTCTTTAAAAAGTGTGTCACGCTTCCAGTAGTTTATCACACCACATTTTTTTTTTGACTTGGACAGTTTAAATTGTTGTCCCAAATTCACCCCATTCTCCCCATATATAAAATGTGAGAAAAGAAAATTAAATGTTTATTTATAGCATAAATTGCACTGAAAAACAATTGGTGTCGTTTACTAAGCACCTACTATACGCCAGTCCTTTCGTATGTTTTCTCTAATTATGGCAATAATCACACATTTATTTATGCATTAGCAAATGGGGATTTAGCATCTCTCAGGTGCCAGGTTTTGTGCAAGTTCTACTGCTATCTACTGGCCAATGGGCAGTTATATTATGGAAAAGATGAGGTGAATCTATAGAAAGAGTTAGACATATTATGATAGCATCATAAATATATGGTATATATTTATGAATAACAGGGAATATAGAATATGTATTTTATATATATATATATATATATATATATATAGAGAGAGAGAGAGAGAGAGAGAGAGAGAGAGAATATAACAGGGAACTAAGGAAGCATGATCTCTGCTCGCTCAGAGTCCAATGAGCTAGAAAGACATTAAAACAAAACCACAAAAACAAGGACAAACAGTTGCAAGCGCAATGAGAAGTTACCTCCAGATGAGATACAGGCACTTGATCTAATCCAAGATGGTAGCATTTGAACAAAAAACTGAAAAAGTCATAGAATTAAATTGGGTGGAAATAAGAAGGTGGCATAGAACAGGGAAGCATCCTTACTCCCATTTTAAAGGTAAAAAAAAAAAAAAAAACTGAGGGCAAAGAGGTCAATTGACTTGCTCAAATTCACACAGGAAGTTAGTCATATTTCAGCTGAAATCTAAAGCACATACACTATCCCCTACATTTGTGGTCATCTGGGAAAAGTATGTAGCAGGTTATATAAAAAAGAGGAAAACATTTTTCCTTCATCCTAAGAAAAGCACTATAACTGCAATGCTTCCTCAGGAAATAGAACCATCCAAGAATCATCTGTGGTCCTGGTCCCTTAAAATCAGGGATGAACCATAACAGGATAGTATTTCTCCCTGTCATTTACGTGAGTATCTGGGCAAGACCACCACAATACTTGCTTGCTGGAGAAAGAATACAACAAAGGTCCTCTAATCATAGACCATCCCTTTTCCATTTCTACCCTAATCTCCACCCTGCACTAGGAGAGGTTTTTGATGGGGCACATCTGTGTGTCCCCCTACCCCAACCCCTACCCATACAATTTAACCTTTTTCAAATAGCTGATTTTCTGGCCACCATTAGATAAGGTGTGTATACACTGGTGGAGTCTTCTATTATAAGGACAGACTGGGGACAGGTATGCACAGTTTTGGGAGGATGTCTGGACAGGGAATCCTGGGGTCTTGGATACCCAAAGTGTGTCTTAGAAAAAAAAAAAAAAGACACAGGTTCTGAGTTGGCAAGTTCCCTAAGTCACAAGAACTTTTCCTGTGGGGAAGTGTCTGTCTAAAAGAAAGACAGAATGGGAATTACTAAGTCAATGGTTCTCAAAGCATGGTCTATGAACTGGCAACGTCAGCATCATTTGGGAACTTGTGGAAATGCAAGTTCTCAGGCCCCCACCCTAGCTCTAAGGGATCACAGAATGCATTTGAATCATATCCCAAGATGTCTATTTGTACATAACAGCTTGAGAAGCCTGCAAAGCACAGGGCTCAGGGCTGAGCCTGAGGGTGCCTGGATCTAAGAGTGGAACTTCCACCCACCTTTAGTACCAATTCTAGAGTTGCATTTTATCCTGCCCACATGTGATAGTACAAGGACATAGGAACAGGCTTTCCTGTCAACAACCAGACACCTAGTGACTCAGAGAATATGGTAATTGTAGAAGGGAAGTATCTATTCCAAAGCCTGACTAGGAATTTGCAATAAAAACATGGAAGCTTTAATAAATGAGTCATGTATTGTTTGCTCCTTGCATATTTTCTGAGGGGAAAAAAATCATTATGAATAGAGACCTGAGGTTTGACTATTTTTAAATGGATTAAAGTGATTTTGTTTAACCTGTAGTATTTTCATACAGTGTAGTATTCGATGAGCAATATTATCTTTAATATATTATTCAGTTTGAAGTGAAGACAGTATGTACTAGGTGACTGAGAGGTTATAAATGTCCAGATCATTACATTACTGTGACTAAGAAATAAAATTCCTAGTCAGTTGAAATAGTTATATTGTGGCTGACTTGGTGACTCAGTCAAAAGTCTTGGATCCACAGAAACTGTGTTGAAATGAAAGGGTAACTTTAAATTTATGCCTTTTAGCATACTTACTTTTTTTCTGCCAAAGTATTGAATGCCTTGGAAACACCCACTCCCTCCATTTTCCCAGTTTTCAGAACCTCAAGGACACACATGTGGCAAGAAAGGTCCTGAGTTTCTCAATTCTGCTGGCTGGAGACCCAGCAGTGGGTTGGATGCATGATGAAGGGTGCCTGAAAGGGCCTGGTGCATCTGGAACTCAACTCAAAAAGATTGAAAACACCCTAGTACTTGAATGCAGTCCTTCAGTTCTCAGGTTACACAATCAGAGAATTTCATCATTCAAGATATTTTTAAAGGTTGTCTAATTCAAAACTAAATTTGTTGATAACATACTGTATATTTGCCAAGTAATTAGGTGGCCTTGGTAAGAAAAAAAAAATAAGAGGACCACTTATTTTTTTTTTCTGAGAATTGTTCTAAAGGTTTTACCCCTTGATTCCAGATCTGCTCTAAGAAGACATTTAAAATAATATACTAGCCACAAGCCTTGAATCAAATATTCAATGATAATAGCATATTCCCCAGTCTATATAACCCCCAAACAATTCTACACTTAGTAAAGATAAATATTTTCATTTCCTTCATCTCTTCTTTATGTATTTTAAGTTTAAGCTTTCAATGCCCTGATTTCTAAGTGTTTTTGCTTTTTCTGGGATGGATGCCTTTTGGAAAGTATGATATACACAACTGAAACCAATCAGGTAGGTGTGGCCTAATGATGTGGAACAGATCAGTCCTTTCAGCATTCTTGTTTCATATGGTATACTTCTACCAATAAAACTGAAGGTCATATTCGCTTTTTTGAGTGCCACATTGTCCCAGTTGTATGCTTTCATAAGTGTATTTTTCCCCAAACACAAATTGATATTTATCTTTATCCTTTTTCATCTAAGCTCAGTTCTTTTATCCAGTCAGTAAAAATTATGGTTACTGGTTTTATATTTCTTTCACCCTCCCAAAAGTAAATAGGATGAGCACACATTCTGTATCTTTATCCAAATAATTAACAAGATAGTTGGAAAAAAAATTAGGCTGAGGACCAAGTTTAGATACAACCTTTCTTTAAGACAATGTTAGCCCCTTAGTCAGCACATATTAATAGGCCATGCAACCACTTGCAAGTGTACTGAGTTGTCTAATATGAACCTATTTCTTCATTTTGCTCAGAAAAATATTATGAAAGATCCCATCAGTTGCTTTACTATTTTAGTTTACCACATAAATAGGCTATCACTCCTTTTCTTCCCTCATCTAAAATAGTGCCCAATATATATTACATACTCAATATATATTGATTCCATAAATGAAAATGATGTACAACATGAATAATAAATTTATGACCCAGCAAAGGATACAGGTGATATAGTGGATTCTGGGTGAGTTGTCAGATGACATTTTGGCCTTTAGTATCCCCCTGACATGACTGTGAATTCAACTTGAATCTATGTAACAACAGATCCTTTTCCTATATTCCCAATTTTTCTTAATTATATCATTTTAACTTAATCCCTTTAGACATAATTGTGAGAGTTATCTTTGGTTCCTGTCTACAATTCATCTGGATTTTCTGATAAATCCCTGAATCACATTGAGCCCACTTCTTAGTAATCTAGCCTTCCACTTCAAAATATATATTTCAGATCTTCATCTTATATCTTGTATGCTATTGCCATAGCCACCCAACTGGTCTCTGCATTTATTCTTATCTTTTTGTGTCTACATTTACCCTTCTCCCTGGGATATCTTTGTAGCATGCAAATTTCATCATGTCCATTCCCTATTGAAAATATTTTAGTAGCTCTCCATTGTCTATAGCATAAAACCCAAATACTCTATGAGTTCATATAAGATACTCTGTGTTTGGACTCTGACTGTCTCCATAGTGGATGTTGTGGTTCCTCCCAGATCCCCTCTCTGGGGCCCATGACAGTAGTAACTGCTGATGACTCATAGCTGCCCCCTCCCTGAGACTTGCCCTGTGCATAAGGGACAGGCTTCTTGGAGGCTGATCACTGAGATTGAGATAATTCCCTAATCCCCACCTCCAACAGTATTGACATCATTAAGCCTCTCATATTTGGAAACTGTAGAGCTGGACAGCTCCATCACTGTGCTTCTGTCAACAATGCAGAAAAGACTTAAAGACCCCAAAAACTGAAAGTGACAAGATGTGTAACAAGAAGATTTGTATAAATACTTTTACAGGAGAAATTTGACCTCAGATCTCCACCTATGACCCATTCAGATAGGAAGTTACCTCTTTCCCAACCCCATTGAGACCCTAGGCTTTAGACTCAGGAATACTGGAC